TTTTTGGTGACGATGTCGCGTCCGCACTTTCGCTGTCCGTAGAATGTTCTTGCGCAATTTTTGATGGAAGCGGCGCAGTAAGGGGTATGTTCAGGAGTCCCATTGCCGAGATATTCGACCCCGTCACGACGCGCAGCAACGTTTCTCTTTCTACGTCAATCGCTTTTCTGATTGCATCCGTTAGATTAGATGGAATGCAAAGGCGCGTATGATTTTGGATTGGCTCACGTAGTCCGTGCAGAAAGCAGCTTAGCACATTTCTATTTAGAGCAATTTTTGCGGCTCTACGCTCGATATCGTTGATGTCTGGGGCCATATCATATGTTATCAACGCCCTATTATATAATATTTGTATCCGCGAACTGTAGCTTCTTACGGGTTCGATGGCACCCAGTGCCTCGGCGACGCTTCTATTGCCGAACTTATATTTAAGGTCCTCGAGCAAGTCTGATATTGAGGTATAGGATATGAGCAATCCTACGTACTCCTCGGCCTCATCAACGAGTTTTGCCTCTAGAGAGTGAATTATTTCTCTCTGCATCGATGGCATTTGTCTTGCTGCTGCTCGCACTGCTTCGCAAAATAGGGGAAGCTTTTCGGGTTTTCCGTTAAATGTAGGGATGCGCTTCATTATTCCATTGAATCTATCGTGCACGTCGCGTATATACGTATTTTGGCTGTTACTATTGCTATTTTCGTTACTGTAATCAACTAGCAAATTTTGGGGATCATTGTCTACGCGACTACCGCTCGTTATGGAGCCAAGATAATTATTATCATAGGTCGCAAATGACACGTCGCGATCGGGCGTATATGAAAAACCAACATATTTTTTTGCTGCTTTTGTTGACCGTCGCTCACTATCTTGCAAGGGTGGTTTTGTCTGTGGTGTTGGCATTGGCGTATTATCGGAAGCTGATAGGTCGTGCTTCTCATCAAGCTGCATTAAATTTAGCGCGTCGGTACTCGGAGACTTTATTTTCTGGTCATCTTTAGACGTATCGTGCGTATTTGATGTGCTAGCTTCATCGTCGCTCTCTGATCCGCTGCTACACGACGTTATGAATTTTTCTATTATCGCATGACGCTCTGTTTTAGAGCACTTTTCTAAATACTCTGTCACGACGTCTATGACGCTGATCGTCTCCATCGATGGAGCTCCGAGTCCATCGGTGGATGCGCTTCTTTTCTTAGGGTTTAACAACCGCATGAACGACATTTTACGAGGGGGAGCCGAAAACAGAAAATTTTAAAAGACTAAAAAAAAATTTAATTTGTAAAATTCACTCAGCTGTGACCGACGTAAATGTGTACAGCGCGTTTCAATAATGGGTTATAATAATTTATTGTTTGATAAAATAACTAATTTCTCGTTCACGACTTTGAAGACTTGTTGGCGAAAATAATAATTATATATTTTTAATAGTAGTGTTAGCTTCTCTTACCGTAAAAGGATTATAAAAATAAAGACTGAATTTCGACTCATCTCCAATTCCGAGATCGTTCCTTCCAACGAGCCCGCAGTCCGGATGATTGAGTGGTGTTATCTTTTTCTTATCTGTCGCTCGGACTAGGCTGTTGAATTTTCGCGTATTTTACGCACAAATCACCACATACACCTATGCACTATATGCGTTTAAAATACCGAATAGATTCTTTTTTTCCTGGGTATAAGACCCGGCTAATAATAATAAGGTATAAGGTGGCTAATTGCCACCTGAGCCGGTCGCGAAGAAAGGAAGTCACGAGGCGCGAAGTCAGCAATAAGCATGCTGATGCTTCGCGGTTCCCCGTCACACTATATTGGGATTGCACTTTGGTCGCGTTGCGAGTTTTCTAAGCGCGCGTGCGTTAGCCTACGCGCTACCAAGTGCCTACGCGAATAATGGACAGATTTCGCGTGTACCTCGACTCCGACCCAATAAATTCCTACCGAAGCGAGGATGAATTTTAATCTATCGAATTCGACACGGGATAGGTGATGTCATGCAAATTAATACAGTGAATATCAGATATGGTTCATGATCGATAAACGATTTATTGCTTCATTTATTGAATGAACAAATTTACTTTTAGTACACAGTACTCTTTTATAAATTATGACCTTGTAACTATAATGCCCGAATTAGGTGTGACAAGCTCACTGACTACTTCAGATTGTGAAGCTTGGTCAGCCTCGCTTGTTGACACCACAAGGACTTTACCTTCAGATTCGACGTTGACTTGTTGAGAGCTGCTCCTGGGGCCCTACTTGAACATAATGGTTGGTCCCTGCAAAAGAATGTTGCTAGAGACCTCACGATTATGGGTTACCCGAAAATGAATGAAATGCATTCACTCTGTCTCTCCCTTGCATTGAGCACGGTTGATGTCAAACATAAGTTGAGACAGAGTGAAATGTGCAAGAGCTTCTATCGGCGCTTTATAAACTTTAAGACCTGATACGGAAGCTCTTGCACTTGATGAGGTGAAATCTAGTGTAGTAGCGTCGCTACTCACATTGACCCGAATTCGCGATATTTGGACTTAAGCCACACGAACCCCCGAACAATGTGCACGTCTGCTCGTCACTCGCGCTGCGGTACGCACTCACGATGATTTCGCAGGCATAATTTCACGATTAGCCGCGCGATCAAATACACGACGGAAAACTGTCGTTACGTGTACTCGATCCCGATCTCGATTTTTTATTCATTCACGCGTCGCGAGAGATTGTTTCCCGAGAATCAATAATGATCGATAAATTATTAAAATATAACGCACAAAGCTAAGTTATGATAGCAATTCAATTTTTGCTGAAAGCGAATTTTACTATTCGAACGAATATGATAAACTAAAACTCAACGCGCTGGCCTTGGAACTCCCATTCTACCTTACGCGTTGCCAATGTGAGTGGGGCGTTCTCCTTCTCCCTTTCCTCTTACTAGGGAGTGATGAGTGAGAGTTGATTGCTTGGTCGCGTGAGCTACGTTGCGAGAGTAGTGACATCGAGGACTTGCACTGATGCTCGGATTTCTTTCCTCTGTCTCTCTCTTTCTCGTTCGCTGCGTTCACGGACTTATTTCACAACGAAATTCATTAGTGTGGTCGCAATATATATCATATCAACTTTGAATATCTTAAGTATTTTTTCCGGTCTAAGGTGTTCGGTGGGGATCTGAATGATTAAGTCTGGATTGTTTTGTTGAATGTCCATTGTTAATTCTCAGGAGATTGACTGAGTCAGTAGTAGCGGAAAACCTTTCCTGCTCTCAGTTCCTGCAGTATGTATTGCATTCGATCTAGTGTTCTTATTCTCTCATCCATTTCTCTTTCAATCAGAAGAGGTGCGCTAGTAACCTTACTTCATAATAGGTGCTTCAGTTCGGAAGACTCGTCCTGCATGATTTCTTTTAATTCTCTAAAAATTGTCTCATGTTGTTGCGTTGCATTCGCTACGACGTCCATGCTATGCATCAGCAGATGAGTTTTCTTTTTCTTAAGGGGTTTGATGACAGTGATTTGCTCTTAGGACAATCTGTGCAAGGATTTTTGTATAAGGTTTATTTCGTCTTTGGTGACGGTTCCGAACTTTGTCAAAGTCAGCACCTCAACGCCCGCTCTGGCGACTTTTTATGTCTACGAAATTTCAGCATTGGAAATATATTTAATATATTTCCAATGATGGAATTTTATAAAATTTTAAATAAAATATGGGCTATATCATTATCGGATTTCTAACGGCGTTTGATTGAGTGGTTGTTAGGCATGCTAGAGCGATTTCCTCTTGTATTCTCTTTATAGTGTTGAATTGTTTTACAACGCTCGAACTTTTGAAAGGTTCACAACTTAGTGTCGTTTTCGTTGATAAGTAATGATGCTCTAATTGTTCGTAGGAGCTTAGCGCGGGGTTATCGCTGGTCCATGTGGTATTGTCGAGATAGATTGCTATCCGCCAGGTAGCCTTTTTCAATACTATGGATTCATAATCTCCATGATATAACCCCGAGTTACTTTTAATAGGTTGGATGTTGATCTCGGCGATATCTTCCGTCACAACCATAAGACTCATCGTTGTCCATAAGTGTCATTACGTATTTTTCTGAAAGGGCGTTAGATAATTATTCGGGTACTACCTTGAGTTTACTCGTATGTTTTCGTATTCGTTTGCCCGTTGGAAGTTCTAGGATCACATTATTGTTACCTATAATTCCTTTAATTAGCTTTAATAAGCTTTATAGAACTGATCGAATTTACCGGTACGAGGTTCTTTAAGGATCCAAGCATAATCTCCCACTCACCCGTTAAATGGTTTGATGTGGCGGTCGTACCGAGCTTTAGATTTATGCTTTTGTTCAATTTGTTTCTCCGCTGCTATGGATTTCATTTCTCCGTGTCGCATAATACGATCTTGGAGATATAGGTTATAGGTGGGGAGCTCATCTCCATCGGGGGTCCGTAAGGGGAGCCGGGCTACTTTTCCATATACCAATTCGAAAAGCGTGAAGTTGTTTGCTGAATGGATCCTGGTGTTATAGGTAAAGGTGGCAGAAGGGGCTAATCGATTCCAATCGACATAACTCTCGGAATAAAATCGGTACGGATAAAGTCCACCAGAGGGGCGTGGCTACGTTTTAGGGCGCCATTAAGTTGCCAAATGTTTGACCTTGAAGATACGTGTAATTGATTCGACTAAGTCTGATAAGAAGCTAGTGCCGCAGTTTGAGAGGACAGCTCTCGGTGCTCCAAATTTACAGATCAAATGTCGAGCCAATGCGTCGACGATCGTGGAGGCTTTTAGGTTAGGTATGGGAATGGCTATTAGGAATTTAGTCACGTTACATTGCATGGTGAGGAGATGACAATTGCTTTCTGAAGTTAGACTTAGTTTTTCTACGGTATTGATCGATACTTTGTCGAATGCCTCCAATGGAGTGTCTATTATAATTAATGGATAAAAATGGGATAGGTCATTAAAACTTATAACAAGATGCTTCACTAATTTTCATTTATTTTTACAGGTGGTAACGGAAACGTACATTATGGTGTGTGTTCGAATTATTTAAAAAATGTTTCGATAAATGAAACAATGTACGTCTTCATTCGAAGGTAAGAAGCTTTTAAAAAATCTTTTGTTATGTAGAGAAACTATCTCATTAGATAAGTTGAATTTCAATATTTTATCTCATCGAGAAAGATTTTTTCAAGTAATTAAAAAATTTCATTTTATGAAAACGAATTTTTATCACACACCTTGATTTTTTTCAATTTCATCAGTGCATAACTTTATGACAAGCGTCATCATGAAATTTATATTGATTGAAAGAGTTCAGTACATTCTTTTAATTATTTCAGTGCGGTCAATTTTAATATGCCCGACAACACGAAAACGCCCATGATTTTAGTCGGGCCTGGAACAGGTATTGCGCCATTTAGAGGATTTTGGAATCATCGTCAAGCTCAAATGGAAAATATGAAAGGTAAATTTATATACTTTTTAATTATTATAATTTAATTTTGAAGCGAATAAAAATCCAAACCGGTCAAATTAAAGGTCTTCAAAATAACTTTAATTTGCTTATTTTTAAAGTTTTATGTGCTTTAAAATGGCCTGCTGTAGAGTCATTTGAATGTTTCTAAAAAAAAAGTCGCAATTTTTCTAGTTTTTTAATAGCTGAAGTTCACTTGGAACCACATCAATTTTTTGTAAACTCCGGAGTATTTTTTTGTGTGCCATAAGCTAAAAAATGACGTAGATTTTGAATGAAATATCGCATTCTAACCCTATACAGCGGTATTTGAAATGTTTAATTTTTTCTTTTCTTTTCTTTTATCCGGCTAATTAATTATCACACGTTTTTTATTGTGAGAACATTCAGAAAATACTGAAACATTTTCCAAATACTACCGATGATTAAAAGCATCTCAAGACATATATATCTTGAGACCCTAACGCATTTAAAGGTGCTTCAGAGCCAAATCTACAGCCAAATTAAAAATATAATCATTAACGAAGTTTAAAACTAGAATCGCAATTTCGAGGTGAGCTGTACTAAGGTGTCCTTCATTTCCAACAAATCCTAAAAAAAATTTGAAAATATTACTATCAACGTATTTTCCGATAAGAAAACCAATGGTGACCTAGCATTTAACCTTGAACGTAACCTCTAAGCTACAGTGCAACAAAATTGATTTTTTGTACGGTGACTCCCATTTTTTGTTGCAGATTTAAAAAGAGCAGAAAATTTTACGCTCGAATACACTTTTAGTTTTTTTTTTCAAGGTTATGTTCATGGCCATTTAAATACCATGTTGTACGCAAAAAGACATTTATATAACCTAGCTTATTGCAAATTGGTGTTTTTTCGAGTGAACCTCAGCTATTAGAAAACTAAAAAAATTGCGATTTTTTCGATTGTTAACAATATTCAAACGGCTCTACAGCAGTCCATTTTAACCAATTTTTTAGCCACTTAGCCAAAATGAGAAAACGACGTTTTTGAGATAGATTAGTGGATGCCTGGCTGCGCAATGCATACTGCTGATACAAGATGTACAGCTCTATGCATGACCTTACTGTAGAAAAACTTGAACTGAAAGAACCTTCTTAAATAAGTTAATTTGAAGTAAAATATATATTTTTAAATTTTGAAAGAAAATTTTTAGTATACTTAATTTAAAAATTATCATCTATTATTTTATTTTCAGATATTGAGTTTGGAAAAATATGGTTATTTTTTGGATGCCGCCAAAAAGAATTAGATTTATATAGAAATGAAAAAAATAAAATGATTGAGAACAAAGTTTTGGATCGAGAATTTTTAGCATTGTCTCGTGAACCTGGAACTGAAAAAGTAAGCTTATACTAACATTTATGAATTATTAAAATAGCCAGTACGCGTTAGATTAAAATTTTTTACCCACATCGATAAGTTTAAGAAAATCCTTGCTATTTCTTCTTCAAGAGATGTGTTATATCAATTTCAATTAAAATAATCGTTTTTCTTGTTTTCTTTTGATTTTCGAAGATGTAGATTATCACTTTCCAAAATTTTAGACCCAAAAGAAAATTGTATATGTCCATTAGAACGTTTTTAAGAAGGGAGATAGGTTTACAGGGGTAACAAATAGTATATTTCTTAACGGTCGCACATATGGTTTTTTTTTAGCAAAACGAGGGATTATAACGAAGGATTGTAACGAGTTTTGTTAATATTTTGTAAATCTAAGATACGACTATACAAAAATGTGGCTTTTGTAAAACTCTATTTCGGTGGGTAATACTTAAGGATTGAAAGCACTTGCTATACAAGCCCAAGGCGTCAGTAGCGTCGTCTGCCATGCTTGCTACGCGCTGTCTTGTAGCTGCGATATTCGGCTCGCGAGCGTTGACCAGTTTTCACGCCAATCATGTAACCCACTGGGCTTCGCGCTCTCTTCAGCCCGATCTGTCTGTCTCTTGCATTCGAGTCGCATAAACGCTTAAACTCGCGTATCAAAGCTGGTATCGTGGAATAAGGAGGGAAGGAAGGGTAAATATCGCCCACTGAACTCTGCCTTGACTCGATGTGTCGCGGTAACACGCCTCCGTGTTATAATAGTTTTGAAATAAAGCGCATTCAAATGACGAATGAATGACTGAATGTACGAACGACGAGACGCGACGCAATTACGGTCCGTGCGCCGATAATCGCACGGTGGCGCCCAGATTTATGTGACGAAACGACCTGTATCTATTTTCTTTTTATTATACTTAAATAATAATTTATTAATCATATTTATTTACTCAAAACGAAGTCTTTCATTCATTACGAATCCCGATTTTATGCCTTACACGTTCTATACAGAAGAGGCTTGTCACCACGACTCACAAGTGAGCAGGGAGAGGTATTAGTGAATGGGTATTAGTAGGGATAATAGGATATATACTGCAACGTATTACCCACTTTTCGAGCGAACTCGCTAGTGCTTGTGCGGATGCGCACAGCCGACACACTCGTTTCCTATGCGAGACACCGTGAGGCTCGTTTCAGCCTGCTCAAATGGCTTACCTTGTCTGCAGCGGCGTTGCCGTTACTGCGTACTTGGCTGCGCGCACGTTGAATGTGGGGGCGCGCAGAGTATACTGAAATTAATTTGAAGACCTAGGATCGGGTCTCTGGACGAATGAAAGGTGTATTTTCTAACAAGGATAGCTTTTCAGGTCTGGGCCATGGATTTGCTCCAAAATTTTTTTGCGGTCTTCTGGTACCCAATACTGAAGCTCCCTGTGCTTAGTTTGATCCAATGGACCTTAGGGCCTATTTTTTGAAGGATTGTCCACATTATATAAAATTTTTTTTATTTTCTATATCGGTATAGAAGTATTTAAACGAAAAAATGCAACGATCCAAAGTTTTAAAATTTTTCAAAAAATCTGCTTGAATTTTTTTCAGAATTTTTGGGACCATCTACCACTCTCTTTAAGGAGTCCTAAAATCTATTGAAATAGCGTCAAATTTGGGCCTCTTGAATTGAGTGATGGATGGTCCCAAAAATTCTGAAAAAATTCAAGCAGATTCTCAAGTATATAATTTAAGTTCGCTTACGATTTTATTCATTCAAGCAGATTCTTTGGAAAATTTTAAAACTTTCGATCGTTGCATTTTTTCGTTTAAGTACTTCTAAATCGATAAAGAAAATAACAACGATTTTTTTATAATGTGGAAAATCCTCCAAAAAATGGGCCCTAAGGCCAATTGGATCAAACTAACCACAGGGAGCTTTAGTATTGGGCACCAGGAGACCACAAAAAAGTTTTGAAGCAAATCCATGACCTGCACCTGAAAAGCTCTCCTTGTAAGTATTTAATTTTAAGAATTATTTAGCTTTTATTAATTATCGCGTGAAAATAAATATTCTCTTTTTTAAGGGATAACACGCGTGTTAAATTAAATAATAATACTTTACAATATTAATATTCTTCTGCGATGTTGACTCTGCTACCCGCTCTGCTACTGGAACAGCCGTTGGAGATGTGGTGAAGTATTTGGTTACGTCGAGCACTCACTGTCACTTTGTACAGGGAAGAGAAACTCAAAATCACGATAGCAAAACTAACACGACACTTCAATTTAAAAAATCGGACCCTTCGCTGTTTGCGTTAGAGCTACCGACCGAGTCCACCCAGGCAGGATGTCCTCTGCCTGCACTACTACCACGTGAATGGCGAAGCGCTTTGGCATGCTTTTCGATAAAAGACCGGACCCTTCGCTTTGTGATCGAGCTTACGGCGCAGTCCTATTTATTTCTAGATAGTCCTCGGTCAGCGCGACTACCACGTGAATGGCGGAGCGCTTTGACGTTACAGGGAAAAGCTGCCTGCTAACTTAGAAGCTACACTGAAAGAAATTTGAGACTCTTATCTTACCGCTTGATTACTAAATGTGCCGCGGTCTGGTGGCGCTATCGTCCGACACGGTGGTATCGTTTTAATCTCAACTAAGGCGATTTCGTGCCCAAAACGTGAACAAAAATCGCCCAAGTAAGATAAGCAAATACGACCAAATAGGACGTTTTCGGCTTGTCTGGTATACCACACACTGTTATAACAGTATCAACTTGTCGATTTTCATAAGCAGTTGTCGCTCAGTGACTCGAGATTAATTATAAAGTAAAATATTTTTAGAGAAGCGCACACATAAAGCCCCAGCAATGTTTGACTTTTGTAAGAAATATAATCTTCCTCAAGCTGTTGCAGAAAAATTTGCAAGTAAGTGAATAAATAATTACTATTTTGATTTTTGGATAAAGTTAATCTAACTTTTGCTCAAATAAAAATTTAATTTCCATTATTATTCGTGGTTACCTCCCACGTTTCCGACTCTGCTTTTCACGACAAGTATTCTTCCTGACATTCATTATAAAGAATAATACCAATGAATATGTATAAAAAATTTATTAACTTAAAAAAACTTAAAAGAGTTTAACAAAGATTCATAGTGTGAGCCAATGAACGAAGATATTTCACTGGACCCGACTCGTCAAGCGTCGCTGCATAATTGAGTACAATACTTTTTATTTTCTCTTGCTGAGCAATCCATTTTAGTTTTGGTGCTCTTTTTATAGCGCGTCCTAATGCTAACTCTGCGAAGCATATCTCCACATCGGCCTGTTCTTTTTGAAACTCTCGCAGTGCACTGTATAAATCGGGATGATGTTTACCGACTATCAAACGAAAGCGATTGTGCCATCCTTCACTAACGTTATTGGTTTTGTGAGTCCCTGCTAGCACAGCATCATATTGATTCCATAACTGTATAGGATAACGTCGAGGTATAGCTTTTTCATGACGTCTTCCTCGAACTGCTGGAGTACCAATAACATAGTATTCGGAGAAGTAATTGAATACAGTCTTCAGTGCACTTGGAGCTTCTTTTTTTAAAGCTTTAAATATTGGCAACACATCGTCGACGGGAATATAAGCTAGGGCCATCATCATATGTAGAAAATCTCGAATTATTCTATCATTTTTATAAGCGTACTCTTTCTGTAAACTTATGTCCTGGATTTGTCTATAGATAGACTGTCCCAGATGAAAAAAGCCACAAGTTATTGTAGCAAAGGGAAAAATTTTTCGACAAGAATTGTTACGTACAAATTAATCGAGGGATTAATTGTACGTAAACCTTTTATATAAATATGTTGCTATCGGGCACGAACCCTTCTATACAGAAGAGGCTTGTCGCCACAACTCACAAGAGTGCGGGGAGGGGTATGAGGGAATAGGTGTTAGTCAGGGTGTTAGGATGTCAATATGTATATATTTATCTATGAGTAGGTTTTAGTGTTATAGAAATTGATGAAATTAAATAACTTACGTTGATTTCTCTTATAAATAAACTGGAGGTTCACTTTATTTACTTAATTTCTTAGAACTAACTTTATTTTTTTTAAGTGCGAATAATAATTTTACTTTTGCAAAGGTGCGAAATAAACAAAATCGAAATAAAGATATTGGTGGTTGCTGAGGAGCGGCCACACGTCGACTGCACTTTTCGTCGATGTTCTGGTCGCTTTTAAAATGCATTAAAAGGAGGGAAGTCTTTTGTCAGCATCAATCGGTCGTTGACAAGTGGATATTCTGACTCAGCTGATGCTTCGGTCGACAGTTTTGTCATGCCTGTGCATGCCGAAACCGTCGACTCGGGGCCTGAGCCAGCATCCACCTAGTTCAATAGCCTCATGATGTCGACATATATATTGCAACGTATTCAGCTCGCTGAGCGCGCGCAAGTGTAGAAGTGTCTGCTCGACGCGAGTACTCCGTATACTTGCTTCAGTGGAGGACTCGGGTAGCTTGCCGCGTTCACGTCGAGGTGGGCTGGAAAGAGACTTACCGACGCGGTGAAATTTATACAGCTCTCGGACTTGCTTTTATATAAAGGATTAGACCCGGGCGTACGTTGCACGATGAGCCTTGGCGGGTCTTTCTTCACGTATTTGTGTCTTACGCGCCTGAAAAGTTAGAATCGGGAAGGTGCGTAAGAGACAACAGGTTTGAGTATCTGACTTGTAATGTTATATGCAGTTGTTGTTTTTATTAAATAAGTAAATTGTGAGAAAATATGCGTCTGTTTTTATTATAGACGACTTGATCGTTTAACGAAATAAATAATAACTTAATCGAAATAATGAGTTGATTTTTACGCAGAGACGTCGCGATAGCTTTACAATTATCGTTTGCAATCAGAGTACAAAATGGTCTTATACCGCGATACAATAAGATTTACCGGTGGTAACACGCTGTTGGTCGAACGGCTGCTGGAGTGATCTCTCTGGAGATGACGTAGGTTCGGCTGCTTGGCTGCAAAAG